CTATTCTCCATGGTTTCAGTAAAAATTCACTCTAGCCTGGAGCTTGGTGTATCAGATCTTGATTCCTGAATAGTACTTGTTTTTACCAATTTTCTGGAAAATTGATTTAGTTGTTTTTATGTTGTACAACTGTTTAAAAAGAAAAGAAACCAAAGAAAGAGGGGGTTATGGGTGGTGATGGTGGTGGTTACTATTTCAAAAGCTGGAGTGTTTTACCTTCTTGAATAATAGAACTGCTTTGCTACAGGCATCTTTCATAAACCTTTTGTGCTTCAATACATAAGTGTTGTTTCAAGTGTATAAAATTCTTCTTGAACATTGATGTGTCTATAGGGAAATACTGTAGCAGATACATAAAGCTCTATTGGAGGCACATTTTGCCCCACAATCATGATACATTAGGGAGTAATGAGGCATTTTCAAATTATATCAATTTACTGTATGATTTACTATACTGTATTAAATATTCAAATAATTCTGGTTAAAAGAGAGCAAAACATGATGACATTTTCCAGGTAATCTTTAAATATTTTATTACATAGGGCATTCATTCAAATTATGTAACTGTGTAGTAGTTAAACCATTTAGAGACAGTGGTTCATTTGGTAAATAATCTTTTTCTCTGGAGGTCAGTAACATATAATAGAGTTCCACTATTAAGTCTGCACTGTAAGCATGTGACTAGAATTAGAAACTCCAAAGATCATTTCTTAGCCATTAAACTATCTTCTTAAAGAGTAGTATAAGCTTAACTACTATAAGAAATGTTGTCCTATAATCATCACATTTCTTTTTTGTCTGATGATATGAGAGGGACTTGTGTGTTCAGCTATAGTATGTCAGTGTACCTGTGGTTTTTTATTGCTCTTTATCTTATCTGGCTTTAATCATATTTCTTTTTATGTTACTTATATTTGCCCTTTGTCATCCAGCAAGATCATCTGTATTTACTATTGTAGAATATCAGAAGCTGACCAGCAGTTTAAAATGGTGTCTCAAATGAGACTGGAAGATGTATGTCATGCACAGTTACAATCACTATTTACTATGCCTTGAAGCAGCTAATGGCACATGTGACTATGAGGTCTGCTTGAAGCTGTCACGTTTAAGCCTTCAGGAGACTGTATCAAGCTTTAGCTGACCTACCCTGAAACTACGCATAAATCCAGCTTCTAGCCAGTGCAAAGAAGCTCAGAGAGGTATCCCTGGAAGGCAAGGAGATTCTAGTGGCAATTTGCCTGCAAGAAGAGTATCTGTTGGAGCTGCCCAGTTTGATGTAGACCTGTCTTAGGCTCCCACAGCAGCATGTTGATAGTTTTGCAAGGATTTTAGAACATCCAAGTGTAGCAGCCTAAAGGCTATGAGAAATTTTCATTTTTATCATTGGTTTTAATTCATTATAATTAAATTCTAACTTGGGTGTCACAGTGGAGTTACAGGCCCCTTCCAAAAAAAAAAGAGTTTGAAGTCCAAGACAATGCTTGCATTCCCTGATTATGTCCAGTAACCAAAAATGCGCAAATTATTATTTTCATGTGTGCTTTGACTTTCAGAGACCTTGTATGACCTCAGTAAAGTAAAAAGGTAAAAAATTGGTGGAAGCAGAATTCGTATTTTATAACTGAAGAATGAATAAATAGAGCTTATGGGCATTTGTACACGACACGGTGGTTTAATTCTCCCTAAATTAAAGCAGTGTTTTTTTAAGAACACCGCTTCAATTTAGGGTGAAGTAAACCCCCATGTTGTGTACATCCATGTCAGAGCCTGATCCTTACCTGCCTCTCCAGCAGCAGGGAGGGGAGAGCAAGCTGCTGGTAGGCAGAGCAGTCTCTGAGCTGCACGGTGGGTGGTGATGCTTCCCTCTGTGGCAGCAGTAGCCCCACCCCCAGGCAGCACCTGCCCACAGGCACCTGGCTCAGGGGTCCTGAGGGACACTGCAGCTACAGAGGGAAGCACCGGGTCCCCGTGAAGTTCAGGCAGGCAAGCAGACTCTGGGGTTGGGGAGGGGAAGATCAGGGTCATCAGGTTTTTTTTTTTCCTTCTGTGGAGCCTGCCTTCCTGGGCTGCTGCTGGGCTGCCTGCATGGTCTGCTGGCACAGCCTCTGAGCCGCATGGCTCCCGGTGCTTCCCTCCACAGTTATAGGGTAGGAAACTGAAACTCCTTGGAGGTTTTTTACTTTGCAGCACCCCAAAGTCATTTGCTGCATCCCAAAGTCATTTAAGGTGTGTTACGTGGCCAAATGTGCTACAGCAGCCAGAATTAATGCACGATACACTGCCGAACGTGCTAACAGCAATGCCATTAAAGCAGTGCAAAATGCATTTAGCCCATTTTAAACCCACTTTAAAGTGTCGTCTACAAATTCCCTATAACATCCTTTTGATACGCTGACTAACACTACAGATGAAAAGGACTTGGGTGTCATGACTGACCACAAGATGAACATGAGCCTTCAATGCGATGCTGCAGCTAGTAAAGTGAGCAAAACGCTGGCTTGCATCCATAGATGCTTCTCAAGTAAATCCCAGGATGTCATTCTCTGGTTGTACTAAGCCTTGGTGAAGCCACAGCTGGAGTATCGCATCTAGTTTTGGGCTCCACAATTCAAAAAGAATGTGGAGAAGCTTGAGAGAGTGCAGAGAAGAGCCACGCGCATGAACAGAGGTCAGGAAAATAGATCTTATGATGACAGGCTGAGAGCTATGGGGCTCTTTAGCCTGGAAAAGCACAGACTCAGGGGTGATCTGGTGGCCACCTATAAGTTTATCAGGGGTGTTCACCAGGATCTAGGGGAACATTTGTTCACCAGAGTGCCCCAAGGGATGACAAGGTCGAATGGTTATAATCTCAAGCAAGACCGTTTCAGGCTGGACATAAGGAAGAATTTCTTTATTGTCCAAGCCCCCAAGATCTGGAATAGCCTGCCATTGGAGGTGGTTCAATCACCCACATTGAATACTTTCAAGAGAAATTTGGATGCCTATCTTGCTGGGATCCTATGACCCCAGCTGACTTCCTGTCCCTCGGGCAGGGGGCTGGACTCGATGATCTTCCGAGGTCCCTTTCAGCCCTAATGTCTATGAAATCTATGAGAGCAAATACTCTTAAAATGCTTGGGAAAGCTGACATTCCAAGCCAATATGAATATTAATGGATATAACATATCTTACTTGGATATAAGATGATGCTGATTATTAGAAGACCCCCCCAATAATTAGATTCTATATATGGAACAGTTATAAATTTGACATAATTTCCCAGGTATAGAATCTAATTATTGGAGGTTTACCATGAATTTGTCCCTTTCCCCCTGCTACAGCAGGGAAAATAAATCAGGTGGGGGGAGGGGTTATGTGGCCTGCCCCCCCTCAACTTTTTCTCCCTGCATCCCCTTCCCCCCTCTGCTGTCAGACCCGCTCTCCCTGAGAATATAGAAAAGGAGCAAATTTGAAAATACAGATGTATGAATTTATGCATCTATCTTTTTTTAAAAAAAACTGATACAAGCTTTAGCACAGGTATTACACAAACATACTTTTAAGCAGCACTTTTATACTTTCTTTTATCAAATACAAACTATTCATGTTGTTAGTCCAAAGCCAAAAGGCTCACAATTTATCATCTAGTTCGTGAGGCTGGGTCCCAGCAGAGTCAACAGCATTTCAAGCCATGGTGACCCCACAGCTTGGCATTTTTCAGTATATGTGTGTACTCTGGATACTACCCCTACAAAGGATTCATGTATTAATTAGCCCTGCACTTATGACTGGAACCAGGTATTTTTATCACAAGTCCTGGGGTCTTCCAAAAATGTATATACAGATGAGATGCAGGGCAACCTTGTCCAGTTACACCTCCTGGGGAGTGGGGCCACAGTCATCATATGTAACAGGCTGAGAGAGGGGGCAGCAGAGGGATGCTCAGTGAACTGTTTGGGACCCCATTTGGTGATGTTTGCCAGACATTTAGGGCTGGTGAAGAAACATGAATCATTGGAAATTGGAAAGGAAGGCATAAATCAGCTGTGGGTGTGAAGAGGAACTTGAAATGTATTAAATGTAGTAGCTCTCCATGACTTGAAAAAGAGTCTGCACTGAGGGAGACTGTGCTCAGTGGACATTACTACATATCTAGATGGGCTGCCCTAATGTATCTTTGTAGTAGATTCCCATCAGTATGTTTGCCCATTATGGGTCATGTGTTTTATAGTCATGCTCAGTGTTGGCTGCATTTTTAACAACTTCATAGTTGATTTCATTACTGAGCACATGCTACTTTTGGCAATGGTTTAATGATAGACAAAATATTTGATGAGGTTTATTTGTAGGCAATTGTGAGACAAGGAGCTTTTTTTCCCCTCATGCTGACTGGGGGAAAATCCTTGTCTTATAGCTGAGTAAATACAGTAAAAAACATTTTCAAGAAAGCAGTATATAACCAAAAAGCTTTAGGAGAAATAGGGTTTCTTAAAAGAGAATAGAAGTTTAAAATGGAATCCAAACACGTAAATTCAAAACAAAATATTTTGGGGAAGAAAGGAAGGGTAAGGTTATTATAAGGCTAGAATGCATCAAACAATTGCAAAGGACTAGCATGGGAATTTCTGCTTCTGGGAGAAAAAAAACAAAATTGGTGGCTGCCAACATTCATCCACCTTGATGTAACATATGCATGTTCTGGTTCAGATGATAAAATACATAATATCATTAGTATGATTTGGTAAAATACATAGTTATTTATTTCAAAGACCAAAAGGCAAATGAGGTTGTCTGTGTCACCTAATTGGCTTGTTAAATTGGTCAAACTTTACATCATCTTCATTATTTATCATTTTCAACTGATTTGAGTATATCCTGAAACCTGGCTTGCACCCCTATATAGTAGATTTATAATTTTTAGAAGTTTGTTGGATTGCTAAATACAACCTATTGTGTAATGTACCATATCATCCTAACATAATATGTTATATCTTTAACATGTACATTTTGTTTTTCAGCCCTGAGGGACAACAGAATTGAGCTGGTTAGAGCTTCATGGCATGAACTGAGCATCAGCGTCAGTGATGTATCTCTGTCAGATGAAGGGCAGTACACCTGTTCTTTATTTACAATGCCTGTCAAAACTTCCAAGGCTTTTCTTACTGTTTTGGGTAAGTCTAACTAGCTTTGAATACCAAAGTGGAAACTATTGGAGAGATGAGGACTAAGATTTCTTTAGCTTCAATAAATACTTTTAAGGGGAAATTTTCAGAAAACTTTTCAGACAATGCATGTTAAACATCTACTAATGCTTTTTTTTTTAAGATTGTTTGCCTAAAGCCATGCCTGAAGGTAGCAAGTCCCTTATTAGCTGTGATATGGTAAGATCATGAAGTATAGAGCACACAAAAAAGCACCTTATGGCCAGGTGCAGACATGAGACTTTTTCTGGTTTAGGTGATTGGAAACTGGTTTATACCTGTAACAAACAGAAGTTTGGGGCAAATAGACCATTTAAAAAAATAGCAGATCCCTGTCTAAGATAGACCCGGGTAAATATAGTATCAGCTTTACTTGATTTAGGTTAGATGGTTCTATTGAACCTCCATTCCAGGTCCGCTTGTGAATCAAGGTAAGTCACCCTCCACCAGTATCCCAGTTGCCTGTGCAGGGTCCCTACTAACCACCTCTGACAGAGAGCTGCGGCAACTAGCTGAGCAGCTAGTCGGCCTGACCCACAAGCTCTCTGTTTTTCAGCCGCAGGCAAGATAGAGGCAGGGGGCAGGGAGTGGGGCTCACAAAGTGATGGGGGGAAGCAGTGCCAACAGTACACCTCACATTCCCAGCTGGGTTAGCTGGGCATTTTCCATCTCCAGAGCCAGCACCAACTTCCTGACTTAAGCCACTTCTCTGCAGCTGCAAGTGCATGGCTGCCCCCTAGGTCTTCACCCCACCCCCCTCCCACCTCCAGGGACCAGAGCTTGTGTCTGAAGAGAAGTGGCTTCAGCAGGGAATTCAGTGTTGACTCGGTGAGGGGAGTGGGGGGTGGAGAAAGGGGGCGCAGGATCCTGTGAGTCCTTCAGGGCATGGTCCCAGGGCTTGGGATAGAGCAGAGACACTCTGTGCCCCACCAACCTGGCTGGGAATGTGGGGTACACCACTAGCATCCCCCCTCCTTGAGCAGCTCAAGAGTCCTGCTCCTCCCCTCACACCTCTGTCCTGCATGAGGTTGACCCCAGTGACCCCACCCTGGACAAAGCCCAGGGACTGTCATGCCACCGAACAGGGCAAGCATGCCTCTCTCCACTGGCTACCTGCAGCTGCCAGCTGCCCAACAGATGAGAGGGCAGCGGGGAGAAGCGTGTGCCTGACAGCCAGTAAGGGATGGTGCAGCCATTCGGCTACATTTGTCTGTCCTCAAGAATCTCTGGCATGCTGGGAAGTATGTGATGGCATGCTGGGAAGTATGTGATAGCATGCCCAGCTTTCTGGCCTTGGCCACTACAGGCATCTCTCTGCCTCCCCCAACTAAAGAGTGAATGTGAATTCCCTTCACTCCCAATCCAGTTTACACAGCTTAGAGAAGGCTGCGTAGACTGGCTCAATTCCACCTTGGACTTTTTGAATGTCTGTACTTAGCCTATGAGGGCTAAGATGTGCATAACCTGTACATCTCAAGCAGCAAAGGGGTTAACAGGATTCATGTGTTCATCTCTGAACAATATACTGTATAGGGCAAAGGGAACAAAACCAGAGAGCGTGAAATCAAAAAGGGCTTTAGAGCCTTATAGTTTTTCCTTACCTATGCATTTTCTGGACTCATTCCACTCTCCTTTTTTCCTCTACAAAGTGTGTATTTCTGTGGGCTTCTTTTATGCTTCATCCTCTAAATGCTCTGCTGTTTTCCCCAAAGGTTAGAGAGACACACAGAAAAGCAATAGATTCATAGAGATGCCCAGGAAATAAAGTTTCAGCTCTAAGCTCTATGTGATTCTATGAATGTCAGTAGCCCAATCAGCTGAAATTGCTATAGTTCATTGAAACACACCTGCGTACCTAACAGGTTATATGATTTTAGAGATGGATTTTTCTTTTGTCCCTGAACTTGGTTCATTTTTTTCTCTCTCTCTCTTGTTTTGTTTTTTTACATTTAGAAAGGCAGGCAGTTGAATTTAAAAGGACTAATGCAATGATTTCTCGGTGCTGGCAATATTAACATGAATCCAGCCGGTGAATTGGCTTTGTGCATAGGATATGAATTATGTCTCACAGTAGTCCCACTGAGACTACTTTACAAAAATCTTCACAAGTTTGCCGTTAAGGACAAAAATATCCACTCAGAGTAGAGTATTTGAAGATAACAAATGACTACGGTTTGTTTGTTTTTTTGTCCATAGAGAGCTATCTTATAATCTAAAAAATAGATAACTAGCAAAATTCAATTTCTTATATGGCAGCAATAGATACAAAATGTTCCAAAGGTCCAAATGTCAAAAAATTAATAAATAAATAAATAAATTGATGTTCAATTAATACTTGCTCCAATAGCTGCTAATTAGGTTGACAAACAATCTGTTCTCCTTTAAACAGAAGAAAAACTAATGCTTAAGAAGCATCAGTCTCTGTAGTTTTATATCATTTCTTTTTCAAACTCTAAAAATGTTCCAATATGAGACTAAAACTCTGTAATTCGTGACATCTTTCTTATTCACATAGAGAATATGTCTGTATATTATTCATCTTTTCATTCACTGGTCTGATTTGGATTAGAAGATTTTAGTACAGAGGGATTATTATTAGATACCATTTCATGACCCTGAAAAGGAATACATTTATTTCAGACATTTCAGTCTAATAGATTCTATTGCGTCTCCTTAAGGATTTTGTGTTGCTTCTGCTGTTGTTGGCTACAATTTCTTTGTCAGTTACCATTGGAGAATTAAAGGAGCCAAACTGGAAGATGCAGCTGTAGTCTGAATTGTTATAACTGAGCCCTTTATCCAGCAAAACTATCTGTGAACTATCTGTATTTGAACTGAAACACTTTTTTGTTTAAAAGTTATGTCTATGCTTCAAAAATCCTTGCCATATTGAATAGTAATTAATATTTTTTGTCCTGGGACCTGATCCATACTTCAGTGCTTAAAGGGAAGATTACTCATAAATTCAGTAGACTTTGGATGTGGCTTATTATTGTTTTTGTTATTGTTATTACCATATTTAGCCAAATCCAAGATGGCTTAGAATTTAATATTATAAATTTGTTAAAATTTTCCATGTATAGAAACTAATTATTGGGGGTGGGGATTCATCTTAGATTTGTCTCCCCACTGATGTAGCATGGAATACAGCAGTGGGGAAAAGGGCTTGACCCATTCACTTTGTTCCTCCTTGACCCCTCTGCCTGTGCATGACCCCTATTCTGTGTCTGCCTACCCTCCTCCCCACACCACTCCCTTGCCACTGACTTTCTGCTGCTCTGCTGCACCTCTGCACTGGCTCTGGAGCAGTGCTCGCCCAGCTCCAGCCTGACCCACTCTGCCCTGCCAGGCACAAGCAGTAGTGGCAAAAGCCAAAGCAGTGGGGCCAAAGTCAAAACTAAGGTGTTGTCAGCCATGGGCCAGTACTCAAATCTAAGACAAGGTTTTATTTTCCCTGTGTTGTTTGGGGGAAGAAAACTTGTCTTAGATTCAACTAAGTATGGTATAATCTCTGAGAAAAAGAAGTCCTTTTCTTTTTCTCCTTTCTTTATTCAGATTTTTTAATTAGTACTCTCTAAGTTTGTATTGTAAATATCCTTCCAGAAGTTGGATGACTTTGGCTGCTGGTCTTGGCTTTGATATACTCTAACAACATGTTCCCTTACATGGCCTACCAAACTTGGCTGTCCATCCAAACTTGTCTTAATACACTGAAACCAGTTTAGATCTAGCTACAGGAAGTCACTCTGAATGGGAACATAAAGTATAAAGTGAACCGAGTTAATTTTAAGTTGAAATGCACAATATTTTTCCTTCTCTCATAATCTAGTATGGTATAGCTAAACTAGAAAAATAGAATCAATGACCCTCATTGCTGAGAAGTATAACACTCAAAGTGAATAAAAGAAGCTGTTAATGATTGTAGTGTACCTGTAGTGCTTAAATTCTTTTGGAAATTGGCAGAGATTTCACTGAGAATTCTGGACAAATGCCTATAGTGATACATGTTGTATCTTTTGTTTGTATGTTTATTAGGTGTTCCTGAGAAGCCACAAATTACTGGATTTGCTTCACCAGTTATGGAAGGAGAGAGGATGCAGTTAACCTGCAAGACATCTGGCAGTAAACCAGCAGCTGATATTAGATGGTTTAAGAATGATAAAGAAGTTAAAGGTATTGAAAAGAATTTTCTTATAATTAGGTCTTAACATTATTGAAACGAGCATTTAGTGGGGTACAGAATTGTGTGGAATTGTATTTTTCATTAATTTCTTTAAGAAGGTGGTCTTTGTCTGAGTGTTCAAAAATCAGTTAAATCTGGAAGAACTGATTAAAATAATTTTAGTTGTGGCTTTTTCCCAAAATGTTATACATTATAATTTTTAATTAAACTGGACTTGTGGCAGTTTATTCGTAATACCGTGAGCAGAGCAGCCCTCTTCAGGATCTGCTGTGCTCACCCCACATGGAGTGAGGAATAGAAAAGGTTCTCTAAACTTAGCCTGTCTACCTTCTTCCTAACCGGATAACTGCATCTGGTGGGACCACCTTTACTGTGGTAAAAAATACCAGTAAAGACAAACCATCATTTTCAGCACCTAGAACATCAGGACCCTCATGAACAACCCTAATAGTGAATTCCCAGAGTGCTGCACTGCAACTGTGGTCCAAGAGCTCAGGTGACACAAAATCAATGTAGATGCACTGAGGGAGACCTGGCAAGTGGCAGATGGGAAGCTCAAAGAGCATGGATGTGGCTATACCTTCTTCTGGAAGGGTAAACAGGAAGGAGAATGCCAACTTCACAGAGTTAGTTTTGCCATTAAGAATGAATTCATAACATAACCCAGTGAGTTCCCTGTTGGAATTAATGAGCACTTCACAACCCTCCATCTTAAACTGGCAGGGAGCCAATGTGCCACTAGCATCAGCACCTATGCCCCAATTCTGCACACCACCATTAAAAACAAGGGGGAATTCTGTACCAGCCTTGAATAAGTCCTTTTTGATTTTCTGGAGAGAAACAGATTAATTCTTCTTGGTCATTTCAATGCCAGAGTCAGAAGGGACTCTAACTTCTGGAACAGAGCAACAGGCAAAAAGGAGTAGGAAAGGTCAACTTCAGTGACATCCTCCTCTTGAGCAAATGCATGAAACATGGACTTACCATCAGCAACACCCTGTTCCACAGGAAAACAGGCACAAGACATCATGGCAACACCCACAATCTAAGCATTGGCACCCGATTGACTATGTCATTATCCATGCCTGGGATTGCAAATATGTCCACATCACTCGAGTTATGATAGGAATTGATGATAGCTGGACTGATCACCGATTCATCCACACAGTATTTTACTCAAACTGTTTCCCAAACAACAACTCCAGCAATGCTGATGGAAGATCAATGTTAAAGGACTCAAGGACCAAAGCAAACAAGACCTCTTCCATCAGTGCCTCAGCAAAAAACTGGTGAGTTCCAATCAACAATAATGCGAGTATGTGTGATTCCCTCCTCAGGGCCACCCTCATCAGTGGCTGTGAAGAGACACTTGGATTCTCCATCAGAAAACATCAAGCCTGGCTTGATGAGAATAACTAGAAGATCCCAGAGTTGATTGATTGCAAGCTTAAGGCCTTTTTAGCTTGACAAAATGACACCAACTCCAAGAGAAAGAAATTGAATCTCCACCAAGTCAAGGCAAAGATCCAAAGGAGGACCTATGATATGAAGAACAAATGGTGGGAAGAGAAGGCTATGGAGATTCAACATCTCACTAACATTCACAATATCTGCAGTTTCTTCAGTGCCACCAAAGCCATCTATGGTCCTAGCACTCAGGGACCAATCCCCTTAATATGTAAGGATGGAAGAGACCTGATCAAGGAAGGGGGAGTCATCAAAGCACATTGGAAGGAGAATTTTGAAGACATTCTCAATCAAGACTGTTACTGATGAAAGTGTTCTCAAATCCATACCACAACATCCAGTCAGAGATGATATCAGAATCTCTCCAAAACTAGATGAAATGAGGAAAGCCATCAATCAGATGAAGAATCACGAGGCATCTGGAGTGGGTGGAATCCCCATGGAAAATTTCAAGCAGTGAGAGAAGAGCTCACCATCAGAGCTCCTTGCCCTCATCTTAAGGATCTGGAATGATGAGGAAATCCTAGATGACCTCAGGGACTCCATGATTATGACAGTCTCCAAGAAAGAAGACCAGACCAACTGGAAATTACAGAGGGATCACCTTGCTGTCCATCACAGGAAAGATCATGGTGAGAACTTTCCTGAACCATCTCCTTCCAGTTGCTAAAGAGCCCCTTCCAGAATTTCAGTGTGGGTATAGGTTATCAAGAGGCACAACTGGCACAATCTTCACAGCTCGCTAGCAGCAGGCAAAATGCTGGGAACAACATAAACCTCTATGCATGGTCTTCTTTGACCTCATGAAAGCTTTCGACTCTGTCAACCGAGAAGTGTTGTGGAGGATCCTTCTGAGGTATGGATGCCTACTAAATTTGTCACCATCCTCTGTGTGCAGGATGGTATGCAAGAAGTGGCTCTCAGTAATGGATCTATCACAGATGCCTTTGAGTTTAAAACAGGAGCTAAGCAAGGCTGTGTCATTGCTCCAACACTCTTCTCAGTATTCCTTGCCACATGCTACATCAGACCACCAATAAGCTTCCAGCTGGAGTGGAGCTACACTACTGAATGGATGGTGCACTGTTTAACCTCAGCCAGCTCCAAGCCAAAACTAATACCATCATGACCTCTGTCACTGAGCTCCAGTTCTCTGATGATACTGTGGTATGTTCTGACTTGGAAGCAGACCTTCAGGCAATCATTAACCTCTTTACTGAGGCATACAAGGAAATGGAACTTCTACTTAACATTGAGAAGACTAAATTCCAGTGAGACTGGAGAACATTGAATATTTCCCATACCTTGGAAGCCATCCCTTTCAGAAAGCTGACAGCAAAGAAATCTAACTTTGCCACAAAATTTTCAGGTGCAGTTTTCAGATACTGGACGGAGTATGTGTTTGAAGATCATGACATCAGATCCGAAACCGGGCTCCTGATTTATCAGTCATCATCCCCACTTTTCTGTAAATGGAGCTGAGACATGGATAGCATACAGGAGGCATCTAAAGTTATAGAAGCATTACTATCAACACTGCCTGTGGAAGATCTTCCCAATCCAGTGGGAGGACAGATGCGCCAACATTAGCATCCCCTCTGCGAACAAACATCATGAGTATTGAGGCGGTGATCATCTGACATCAACTTCATTGGGCCAGCTATGTCATCTGGAAGCTCTTCAGGGATCTCCTCAAGGCCAGCTTGAAAAAATGAAACATCAGTGCCAATTTACAGGAAACTATCATCCAGGAGCTCCCCAAATGGAGGAAGAGTCTGCTGCAGGGATCTCAGTACTTTGAAACTTCATGACAACAACAGGAAATTGAAAAGTAGGAGTGTCGCAGAGCACTGAGGTGCCCTGCTCCTAAAGAGGGGAAATAAGGAGCCCAGCTGTTGGTTGCCAGGGCAACTGGAGCTAGCAAGAGATCACACCTGCCAGTGGTCAGCTGACTGAAAGGGGCAGGGCCTGGCTCCCTTATAAACCCTAGGGGCTGAGGCCAGAAATAGTTCCCTGCCAGCAGCTGAGGAGGCAGGAGCTTTCTGTCATGGAAGAGAGGAGAAGCCTGATTCAGGAGCAGCATCTGACACTGCTGCGAGATGAAGAATCCCCGGTAGGCTTGAACATGGTTATAGCCGGGCGGCTTCAGTTTAAGTTATAGCCAAAGGGCTTACGTTTGTGTTGCTGTTTGTCACCGGTGGTTTGGGTGAGGCTACTAGGGGTTGAAAGAGGCCTCATAGGGGACCCACAGCTGTGCGGGGACCCCAGCACCAGTGAGGGCGCAGCAGTCGGGGTGCACTGACCCCAGCCCCAGAAAGGGGGCAGTTGAGAGTTACTGTTAACAATAAGAGAAAACATTCACCTTTCTATAACATCCTATTGAATAATATATAATAAAACAAAGACTGTGATACAAAATTAATAAGTTAAAAAGACTGTAGTTGATACAGAAATCTATTTTTAATATACCTGTCTTGAGAGCTTTCAAATTCCAAATCAGAAAGGTATACTGGAAAGAGATAGGGACTTTCAGATCAAATCAGTTGAAATATACCTGAGTTTCTTTGGCCCACATGGAAAGCACAGAGACAGAAAATGGGGCCTTTCAATTTGCAGGGTGTTTGAGGATGCCAAGTAAAAAGTAGCACCTTGTCAAATATAATTAAAAGGCAAAATTTAACAATGTAAATAACATACATGGTAGATTATTCCAGCAAACCTGTCATCCAAAAGAGATGACAAATTGAGTGTATGCAAGCTATCTAAAGATGAAAAATAACTGTAGGTAGCATCAGTATCCTAAATGAGCAACTGGTTTAAGCAGGCATAACAGCAAGGGCCACATGTCTCACCAGATGGCTCTTTAAACATCATATTTTATAAGATTTTTTGTGGTGATTCTGCCTTACTGTTTTAGATGCAATGTAGAAGCAGAAAAGCAGAGAGTATGGAGAATATGTCCATTTTCTGGATAGTTTCCTAAAGGTTGGACATAATAAAGAAAATCCAATAGATGGATGAGGAAAACGTTGCAAGTGAGGAAAACCAGTAGATGAGGGAGAGACAAATGAAGGGAAATCCTATATTTGGTTTAGTTTTCTAGGTCTTTTGAAGAGCACATTGCCATTTTCACAAAGGTTAGAAATAAAATAACCTAACCCGTTTGCAATGACATCAGCAGAAGTTACATTAGCTTTTATGCTCTGGAAAAGGTGAGATGATAAATCTGAGAAAACAGAGATGAAATTATATGTTAATGCAGCTGACATTAAAGGTTGGGAGTTCACCTGTCTAGCACCAGTAAATCTAACTGTGTTACAGTATATTATACATGGTGCAAAAGAATATGAATGATGAGTTGAGAGTAGCACTAAAGGAAAAAAGGCTCTTTGAATTGTGGTTGCATTTATATTAGCAAAAGATAAAATAAAATAAAACATCATCTGGTAAGAGACAACCATTTAACAGACTAAATCTTAATAATGGAAAAGACTATGAATCATTACATTCTCTGCTTTACATCTCAGTGTTTTGGCTCTGATATATGCATCAAATCTGCATGGTTTTGTGAAACTAGACTTTCTGGTCCTTTTTTATTCCCACCTACTTGATGATAATACCAGAGCATTTCTAAGATGAGTTTACTAAGGATATAGACAGGTGTAGCAATGTCAAAGAATACTGATATAAGCTGTTACAGTGCAATAGTATCATACTCAATGCACTTATACCATACCAGTAGTGCCATAAATGTGGCAAAACTTCTCCAACTTTATCCTTACTTCATTCAGTGTCAAAGTTAAGCTGATTTTTAACTGACAATTGATTACATTACCAAGGAGCATTACATTACCCTACCCTGAAGGAATCGGACATATAAGTAAATATATAATACATTTTAATAAAAATAATCTGACTTTTTTTATGTGGCTTGTTATGCTCTTGAAAATATAATTTTGAGTGCATATTTTTACCTTTCAGAAATGTCTTCCTACTGTTTTTCTAGTGAACTTGGGCAGTGAAAATAAAAATGCTAACGTAGCTTTTGAGTTTTTGTTGTTTTAAATTTTTTTTTTAAGTTATTATGTGTGGAGTTCAGAATCTATTTGTCTTAACAAAACTCTAACTGAAAGGATAATACCTATTCAGATTGCAGTGCAAGGTTATAGTAAAATTTGATGAAAAATATGTGGATGCCAACAATACAAACTTTGCTTAATACAAGTAGGAAGAAATAACTTAAGTGTGTGAGAACAATACACTGTTATAAAGTGTTGAAAACAAAAAATGACAGATCAATAAGTTTCTGTTGTTTCCCTCCTCTGAGGTCCACAGTCATGAGATATACAAAGTGTTAACCAGTCAGAGCAGGTATACAGATTGCTTGCGGCAAGTTCCAGGAAAATTATTAGTCTCAACAGAGGACTTTCTCTGGACTTTCTACTTCACTTCATCAAATGATTATGATTTTTCAAAGGGTTGAAAAATCCTTGTGTGTGGCCTGTGTGACTGCATCTACATGAGATGTTGACTGCATGGTAGCTCGTTACTACTGCGCAGTAGCATCATATGGCACAAAGCATGACACAATGTTACTGTGTAGTAGTAATGAGCTGCTGTGCAGTCAGCATCACCTAAAGGCTATTCAGTGATGCTACTGTGAAATAACTCCAGTTACTGTGCAGTCATTTATTATTTGTTTATACAAGTACTTGTTTATACAATTACTAAATGACTGCACAGTAATGACTGTACAGTTAGCATCTTGGGTAGACTCAGCCAATGTGTGGGGGGTATGGTGGGGGGGGAGAGGACATGGATAGAGGTAAGGGAAATAAAAAGAAGCAACAAAAAGAGAGAGAGAAATACAGCATCATCAAAAATGTGCTAACCAGCCAGAGTTCAAGCTCTATAGAGACCCTTTGTATCTCTCTTATTACTAGTATGTGCTACAATAATATCTTCACTGATATTTTTATCCATATTTTATTCTGTTCCCCTATGAATTAGCATAGTTACACTAATGCATATTATAGTCGCACATTTACTCTGCTTTATATACATAACATAGAAGGAAAATATGGCCTTTTGGGGGAAATTTCTGATGATACAAATATACAGGGCTTACCTAATGGCCCATAAGTAGTTAGCTGTGTTAGTCTGAAGTCATGCAGAAAGGAGGAAAGGTACATATCTACCCTGCCTTATTTTTGTAATAATGCATTAATTGCCATAGTTTTTCATGAACATTAAGGCTCAAGGTTTTTGAAAAGCTGGAGGTCTAAAATAAAGATCCTAAATCTATTTTAGGAACATGGAAAAAGTAGTTTAATTTTCCAAAGGCCCTCTTGCATTGAAATCATTGTCTACAATGGTGCAAGGCAGCTAAGTGAGCTCTTACATGCTATTTGTGAAACTGCTTTGCAGCAGAACTAAGTAGCCTGGCCATACCAACACACTAAGATGCTTTTACTGCTTTATTCTGGACCTAACATTTGCAGAATTAGGTCAGGTAGATTTAACTTTGGGCCTTGTTAGACCTTATGCTATAAGCCGAACAAATGTTAATCAGCTTAGTGTTGTTTGGCTTAGTGGAGCAGTCACACAGTAAGGCAAAAAACCTGCTCTGACTGCTCAGCTGTGACTTGCCATTAGATATTTGGTGAGCAGGGATAGGACTTGGAGCAGGACTTCCTTGCTGCTTTCGCTGGGCAGAGAGCAGGCCCATCACTGTGCCAATTGCAGTTCTGGTCTCGCTAAAATTGTCATAGCAGCTCTACAGTGAGAACAGGGATGTCATGCTTAAGCCCTGGTAGCTCTGCTCCCAGTGCAGAGCTGCCACAGATCTACAATACCAAGCTTCTTGCCTGGAGCTTTCTGGTCTTGAGCTGAAACTGATTTCACCTGGCAGCCCCATTCTCAGTGCAGAGTCATTGTGTCATTTTCAGTGAGACCAGAGAGTACCAGGGCTGTAGCCCTGGAGCTTGCTTGCTCTGAGCAGCCCAATCCCAATCAACCTGCCACCCCACACCCCGCCGATTGGCCAGGCACCAGCCAGCTGGCTGGGCACCACTTGAACTAAAAGGAGCCTGATCCTTTTTTCCCCACAGCTCAGGTTTGGAGATAATCCTGCCCTGGAGTGGTATAACTTTAAGCTAAATAACTAGTGTTTTAAGCCACTTAAAAGGTGTCAATATGCAGCCAGTCCAGGGTTTAAGAGCCCCAACTGTAGACACACTGCCTTTTGGTTTAATTATGGATGATTTGGGGGAGGGGGAGGGGTATGGGTTATATTGTCCATGATGTTCCGTTCCTCTATGAATAAAATAACCTTGGTTTAGCCATGGTTAATATTTCCCTCAGCTTTTTAATCCTTAAAACTTGATAGTCAGTTCAGCAAAAACTGAAATGTGTTTAATGCTTAGTAACCAACAGCCTATTTTACTGTTTTGAGGGTGGAGAGACAATTAAATATTTAGCATTTCTTAACTACTTGGATTCCCATGTTATCTAGAATCAGTTAAAATAGAACCTCTCTCTGATTTCGCAAATACTTCTAATAAAAAAAGCCATTTTAGATTTGCTTTTTAAAATCGACTTTTTATGGAAATTTTATTTGGGTCATCTTCCCTTCCCTAATGGGTTTTAGTATAATTTGTAAAAGTGAAACCTCTTGCATTTTCCTTCTCTTTATTAGGACACAGAGGACACATGCAATCTCAGTAGTTTATTCCTTTCTAAAAAAAAAAAAGTAATTTTAAGGCCTTCATTATAACAAATCAATATGGTTTGTTCTCCAAGCTCCTGTTTTGCTAAAATAAGCAAGAACGCAACAAGCAGTGTTAATAGTTGAGTGTAGAATAAAACTAATTGAAGAGAACTTTAATGGGTTATCCCATTAACTTCTGTACAGAAAACCCCCCCCACTTCATTTGTTGATTCTAGTTGTCTTAAATATACATCATATAAGAAGGCTTTTCTAATGAAAAGCCCAGCCCTGCCTAATAGTGAGCATCTCCTGAGAATAGATCCCTGTGAAACTGAAAGTCCCCTGTATCTCAGAGAATAGGTCCCCACTAAACAGGAGGTACTAGAAAGCAAGAGACTAGTTTTGCACAGGAAAACAGTCTGAAACATATATATATATAATTTTAAAAAAATGCATGTGGTTTATCTGCAAATTAGTATAGCGCAGTTCTTTGAAATCAGGCCAGTGGTATTAACATCTTAATTTCTACCTTAGTTAAATTCGTAGATTAAATTAATCCAGTCTAAACTGTAGTACAGAATCTAAATAAAGTAGTTGCCATCCTAATCTGACCAGATTAATAATGAATACAGAATAGCATGGCTTTAATGTATTGCATATCTGTGGAAAATTATATGCATGGACTTATAAAGTTTTACTCTGAGTGACATTTCTAATATTTAAGGGAATTTAAGAAAAGAAGGATTATAGTCTACTAATAGACTGCAGAGGAAGCTTTTTATCAGATGAAGAACTAGATATACTCGAGATAATGAGGAAAGGAATTTCCTCTTGAGAGTTTATCTTTTAGTTGGTTTTTTTTTTTTTTTTTTTTAATTGCTTCTCCTAGCTACATATGCACATACCTCTAGAAACAGGAGTATTGGTTCTTTGATCAGATGAATAATGGTAGTATATCTAGCTATATAATGTATTTTGTTTTTAAGCAGCTAAGCTACCGGTAAGTTTTAAAAACTGGCTTGGTATCTATTGTATTAAATACTGTACTGTGTTTCTTTAAAACAAGGGATCTGAAATTATTTGTTTTTCTTGCAGATGCAAAATATTTAAAAGAAGAGGATGCTAATCGTAAAACATTCACTGTTAGCAGCACACTGGATTTCCGAGTAGATCGCAATGATGATGGTGCAGTTGTAAGTTGCAGAGTAGACCACGAGTCCCTGAACTCTACACCTCAGATAGCAATGCAGGTTCTAGAAATACATTGTAAGTACTATATCTACATATATATTTATATACATCTACTCTCACTCATTGACAGAAAAAAATGAAACTTCTGCATAGGGCAGTTAACAGGCAGAGAAAAAAATGACTCATTTAAAGAGTTAGAAATATATAACCCTTTTTCTATATCCCAGGTTTGCAATCCTCAATAAAAGAAAGTTATCAAGAAAGTCAATAGGAGTTTTGTTTTGTTTTTAAAGTAAAGACTAGCAGATTAGGCAGTTAATTTGTTTAGCAGAGGAGGAGAGAGAGGACTAGCATTTGTACTTTTAAATAGATTCACTGGTTCTTTGAGAGAGTTTTGCATCAGACAAACTGTAGTTGTATGTAGTAGCTAGTATTTTGGATGATAATATTGTAGAAATGAGGATATTAGTGAGTACTATTAGGGTGGTGTTACAGGTTACATGTAAAACCATCATAAAGGTATTTAAAGGAGGAACATTCACCTGATTAAAAGGTGTTAACCCATGCTCAGTATCCTGTAAACATTTTAAAGTTATGCCACTTCAAGTGAGGATTGTCTTCGATTGGTTGTACCCATCTCATCCCATGTTTTTATTAGTCTGCTTTGGGGAGATAAATATACTAATTTCATTTCTTTATCATGTATGCAGTGAGGCCTCTGGGTCTCAGATCTGCTCCAGTGTGGCATGCATGTGGCAAATGTATTGGGTCTGAACTCTGCACAGTGAGTTTCCTGGATCTCAGCTCTGTCCTGGTATGGGTACTAACCCAACTCCCCCTGCAACCCAATCCAAATTCAGTGAAACGTGCAAAATGTTGGTCCATTATTTATTTATTTTTTTTAATTCTTTTTTCACTTCTTTCTCTTCACTCCTCTCCCCTGCCCTTTCAGTTTTAAACAGATGGGTTTGTTTTTAAACAGTGGGACAAAGCTGCCCTGCCCATTCATCAGACTGGTTGCCCAAGTTGCCTCCTGGACTAGCAGTCACCAGTCTTTGGAAGTGCAGGGAGCAATATCCCCTATCCAGGACATAAGGAAAGTATAAAAGTGTTCACTCTTGCAAAAATGGATCTTTCTCCCAGAAGGAATGTTTCTCCCAGGAAAAATTGAATGAACACTTGTATGTTCATAGCTTCTACCAGCAGAATAGCAATTCTCCCTAGAGAAACATAATGTCTGTACATGACCTCTGTCCTCCTTGGGCTGGAGAGGACACTTGACAGAGGTGGTGGGTCAAAAGTGGCAGTTGATGAAGGTGGCGATTAGATGGTGCATTCTCACATGACCTTGCTTAAGGGCTAAATAAAATCTCTTTGCAGGCTGGATCAAGTCTGCATAGATTGTCAACTTGTTATTTTGGTTATTACTCTATTCTTTTATGATTTTTCTGCTCTATAATTATGTTTAAGGTTTAGACTCTGTTTCAAGCTAGTTTCCCTTCAGAGTGAACTAAATGGATGTGACTTCATCAAGACAGAGAACAGTGAAAAAGAAGTTGTGTGAACAATTGAAATGACAGGATTGTACTGAGACCTAGTGAATGATAGAGACAAATTAAATCTGACCATTATGATGAGGCTATATTGGACAGGCATTGTTAATGAGCCCACAGGGAGATCTATAGAAAGATCTTTCACACTTTATTCACTAGCTTTAGACAATACTTTGCTAAAACTAAAAAACAGTATTAAGTATAAGAACATAGTCACCAATCTAGGTTACATTTTAATTTCTCCCTGATCCGTTTAATTTATCATGGAATGAGGCAGACCAGTTCACATAAAATCAAACAAACCTTAATCATTACTTAATACTTGAAGCAATGCAGAGCTAAAACCTAAGGATCTCCTTTTTTTTCCCCCTTTAATATTACTAATAATATTTTTAGGCCTTTTTTTATTTTGTTTTTTTTATGGCCAGGTCTAGATCTGCATATTTAGAAATAGGATTCCCTGTATTATTTATAACCTGAACAGAAGTAGAATGTCTTGAGGGAGAAGATGATCAGCACTCAGATCCTGAGGGAGAAAATGTGCCAGTTTTCATATGTTTTCCAGAAGTATTTTGCAGTTTACATATATTAGAATGATTTGGATAATGGTTGGATGAACATCCAACATTTTGGTTGAACTGATCAACCAAACCCTCCAATCTTTATAGACTTATCCATCCCTAGATTATATTTCTTCTCACTTGAGTTTCATCTCTCCATTTATATGTTCAGTGCAGGGCTGCCCTAATGTTTTGCTGTCTTGCTAAAGGGTTTGGCCATAATTTTAATTCAGGCTTGTCCAGTGGGGAGTTAGTTGTGGCATGACACTGGTATTTTTCTACTGACCCTTACTGTCAATGATAAGCCTAGAATAGAGTACTAATAGCTGCTATAGTATTGCTTGGAAGGTTGTTGTCAGACCATCTGCCACTGACTATTAGGTAACCTTCTTATAAGTGATAAAAATTTCATTTTATTGTTTACTATTTTTCTCAACTTTTAAAAAACTACTTCTGGTCCATTATTAAATGATCATGGTTAAAGTACTGCCATTATAAAAGGTTTGTTTGATATTGCAGTAATTTACTATACTGTATAACAAATATGCAAGGCTCTGCATGTGCTCTATGGGAAAGCCCATCTAGAGAGAGGCAAAAATTCCTAGAGGCTTTATTAAATCAAAACTATTCAAACTTCAGGTCTAATTGTAATCATTTCAAAACAGCAGCTGTGATGTGATCAATAGTTCAGCTCAGAATAAAGGTTTCTGCACTAAAGTTTATAGGATGATCACATTTCTCAAACACCAGCACTGTTATGCTAAATAAGTAGTAAGTAAAGAACTGTCTGTAGATGCAATTTTAGGTCTTGTTTTTTAGTTTGGATTTTTTTATTGGGAGACCATTTATTTTTTTTAAATGGTAGACAATTCATCTTCAATGTGGTATCAGACTGATAAGTTTACAGCTAAATTCCCTTTAGATTTTTTTCCCCATTAATGTGTGTAATAGGTTGTTTCATTATTACTAAATGATTTGGCACTCAATTTCAAGGCCCCACTTAAGGTTCTACAATAGTAGATTGTACTGGTTTTGAATCAGAAAAAAACCTGTATAAATTATTTAAAAAAAAAGTAAATCATATGTAATGAACCTGTACATCAATGTAAAACATATTACGTGTGTACACATGCATACATGGCCAAGAGGGACTGTGTCTTACCTGCATGCACAATTAGGCAATTGAAACTTTATAGGAATATGTGAAATAAAGTTTAAAAATGTTAGCTGGCTATTTGGTGTTACTACTTCAGTCATGGGTTTGGGGTTTTTTTGTAGTTCAGAGACTGATACATTTTAATTTTACCTTTTGAAAAGAGACATTTTTCACATTTTTCTAAATAAAATATCTTTTTAAAGGGTAAAGAGGCGATTTGAGTTCAAAGATGTGTGTGTACGCATATATATGCATGTATGTATAAAATCACCTATTCATATTGGATTCTGAATGAAAAAATAGTCTAATTATTTTGCTCAAATAGTATGTAAACACTGAGTTAATAAGAAAAATTATCTTGTTTTAAATTTTAAGATTAACGAATGCTTGAAACTTAGGAAGATACGTAAAGTAGTAAAGAATACTATCTGTGAACATTGAAGTTCAGTGCCACAATTTGCATGTTTAAATGAGATCAATTAGGTTAATGATGGATGAAAATAAGAAATCCATGATTTAAATGCAAAATAATTCAAAAACTTGTGGGTTCATTTGCTGCCAAACTTTAATCTTTCAAAGAGGCTCTCTAGTTCAAAGGGTTAATGTACAATCCTAACCTTTCCCATCTGGAAGCTTATGTTCAAATATGGTTCACATTTGGAATGTAATCCAATATCATTTATTTTTCTCTGCAGTCTTTTTTTCATACAGATGACACAAAATGGCTCAAAGATTATAGTCTGCATAGAAATTTAAATAATATTTATGGACATAGTATTCTATAGAAATGTCATTTGTACCTGGAACAGAGTCAAATAAGATACTTCAACAAGTGTTGCAAGAGTAATTGAAAATATTAAAATTAGCAGGCTCAGGACTTAGTTTTCATTGCTTTTAGAAGAGTGGGTTTTGTCATGGGCACAGTCTTAAGCAGTGCATTTTGGGATGTGATTTGGAAAAAAAGCAGAGTGAGTCAATTAGGCATTTGAAGTATATTTTGTGTAGATGGGCCTGAGAAGTTCTGTTGCAAAATCTACAGAGATATGGAAGAAAATGGGGAGAGGTGGGGCAGAAAAGAAGTATGGTCTTTCAGGTCTAAACCACTTAATACCTAATCTATCATATGTTATTAAAAATCTGAGCATAAATTTAGCTCAGAAATTTCTGAAATGGCCAGAAGGCTAAAGTAAAGGATTCCCTGAAAAGGCGCACTCTCAAACACAATGGTATGTGTTTCTCTAGATGAGTAAAAGGGTCTAATGTTTGATGGCCTGACACGGTATGGAGCATTTAACACATCGGCAGTAAAACCTGTGTCCCTAAGATTAGCTCATCAGTTTTCAAGGAATTACAATATAAAGAATGGACAGTTAGGCAGAGGAATGGCTTTCCCTGCTTCACCCTTTGTCTCATTATTTCCATTAAGGCCAGGTAGATCCCTAAATTCCAGCTGGCTAGGGTAACCCAGAATGCCACTGATACCCCAAAATCCACAAACTGCTTTGGGCCCATATGAGAAGTCCTTAGCGTCAGCTCAAACTTTCTCTGGCACTGAGGATTTCTTGTACTCCATATTGAGCCAAAGCTCCTCCACCTGACTTGTTTTTTTCCAAGATCAACTGCTGTTGCTCCTGGCCAGTGTTAGTTGAGAAGGTCAAGGTGACTCCCATCTGCCATCCCATGTGCTGTGATGACCATCACTAACATTGCCCTTGTGTACTGGTAAATTGGGCAATAGTCCTGTTATTGGCTCTGGAACCGGTTCAGGATTCTGAGCTTGATTGCTCTGTTCCAGAAGTGTGATTA